TAAATTTTAAACTAACAGAGCTACACGTGTTTTGCTGAGCGTAAAAATTGCGATGTTACGCAYTATAGTAAGACGGTGACAACACATGTGGCTATAACGTCCTCTTAAATGTTTGATTAAGTTACAAATAAATTAATTTTGTTGTTGGACGTTCTTCAATATTTTTCATGATTATGAAGGTAGAAGACTAGAGATTCCTTTACTTTCTTTTTCTTTTTTTCTTTTCTTTACTTTCCTTTACTTTTCTAGTCATGGATGAAGACAATTAGAAAATTCAAAAAACTTCTTTACATCGTGCTTATTGCTTATTGCTTATTGCTTATTGCTTATAATATTATCATAACCAAGGCTCGGGACTTATAGCACTTAAAATCACTAAAATAAGCGCTTAAAAAAGCTCTTAAAAACATCATTATAAGCACTCCAATAAGCGTTTTTAGAAACTTAAATTTTTGCAAAAATATTTATCAAAAAACAAACAAATAAATCTTTATATTATAAAATAAATTAAATTTCACTTTCGAGACTTTAAGGATATTATGGATTTTCTGAAAAATGAAATGTAAACGATATTTATAATAGTTGAAAACATTATGAAAGCGTAGACATACTGGTCAAATAAGCAAAAATAATCAAAAAACTGGAAATAAGCATGTTTTTTAAAAACCACTGAAATAAACGATAAAAAGCACTTTCAAACTTCATAATTAAACGTATTATAACATTTTAAGTCAATCCATAAAAATAAGCAAATACTTAAGTCTCGAGCCCTGATCATTACTATAGTTAGTATAGGTTGTAGGTATATTATGGATAATGGATGACGGATGTTAGATTTAAAATAGTTTTTTAATAAATTACGGACAAGATTTTAGTMCGAATTATGATACTTGGATAATAATTGATTGATACTAGTGGCTGCACTGCCTATACATTTAAATTATCTTATMGTTTGTTTAAAAAACAACAATATTATCTCGCCGCGGATGCAGCTTATTTACGTTTGTTCATCACACCACACATCACACCATGATTTACCGATAGATTAAACTATTTATTATTTAAGGTATTAATGTATTATTGCCAGAGTAAAAGTGTAATAGTTTTTTATTAATCATTAAGTGACTTCAATTTATCTGTTAACCAACTACACAACTACAATGAATTTGGTGCCTGAAAAAAACAGCGATTTCAGTACAACGGAGTATTGGGATTCTTTTTTTACGAAACGTAAAGCTACTTTCGAATGGTACGGTAATTATGAAAATTTAAAACGTTTAATCACCAAATACATTAGTGTTAAAGATGTTATATTGATTTCGGGATGTGGAAATTCTGAYCTTAGTTTAAGATTATACTCTGATGGTTTCATCAACATGACTAGCGTGGATAACAGCGAGGTTGTAATTAATAATATGATTAATAAACATAAAAATAAATACCCGGGTCTAGTTTATGAAATCAAAGATATATTGAATACCAAATATGCTGATGAAAAGTTTAGTGCCGTTATTGACAAAGGAACATTAGATGCTTTGATGCCAGATGGTGAAGAGGAATCTCTTAAACGTGCAATGAAAATGTTTAATGAAATCAAAAGAATATTGAAATTTGGTGGACGATATATTTGTGTATCTCTTCTTCAGTATCATATTGCACAGTTTATATTTTCCTATTTCAGTGAAAATGGTTGGATTATTCGTGTTTGTCAGTGTACAGAAGTTGAAGACTCACCGGATTTCAATGGCCAACCAGTATTTATGGTTGTCTGCACTAAAGTAAATAAAATACCCGGAACTAATCCAGTTCTTGAGTGGAATCCTGATGGTCTTACTAATGAAAGATTAGACTCAATTAATGATTTATTAGAAATAGTAATTGATACTCAAAAATCTGTCTCAATGTGTTTTGATCTCACTAAATGTCAAATGGAAGAAATGTCAAATAATTATCGATTTGAAATAAATTGTTCCCAAACAAAAAAACCTCGTTATACAATTATGATTGTTGAATCTCCTACTCAAAAAAATTCTAATAAAATGACTTTTGCTGCATTCATTGTTCCACATGGCCGAGAACACGAGTGGTTATTTAGCAGTGAAGAGGGGCAAGATATACTGCGACGAAATTGTAATGTTGATCGTTTAGCTATCATTAGTATGCATCGAGGACAGATCTATAAGAATTTAAAACAAGTACAGCAAGAACTRTCAAGACTTATGTTGAAAATAGCACCACAAGGTGTCATAAAACGTGGCGAAACCATATTATTTTTATCATTAGAACAACAACTTGGAGATAGAAAAATAATTATGGAAAGCAAAAGTGAACACTCTGGAAATTTTGTAATAGAGGAAGTAATTGGAMAAAAAGATGAAACTTATAGACGTTTAGTATTCCTTAACATGCCTCATATTATTCAATCAGAAATAAAATTACTGACTGAAAATGGAGAGATCAAAATCGATTATTCCCATTTYCTTAGTGATTACATACCATATTTGGGCCTTGGTGTGGGCATTTTAGCAAATCGATTAAATAGAGAATCTAAAATCCTTTTAATTGGTTTGGGTGGAGGTATACTTACTAATTTGTTGTTAAATGCTTATAAAAATGTAAATATTGTTGCTTTAGAAATAGATCTAGTTGTATACAAAATAGCCAAAGAAGCTTTTGGACTGTTAGAGGACAGTAGATTAGAAGTAAACATATGTGATGGTCTTGAGTATATAAGCAATGCTGTCAAAAATAATGAAGAATATGATGCTGTAATATATGATGTTGATGTTAAAGATCCTACGTTGGGTTTAAGTGGACCACCAAAAGATTTTTTGAGACAAGACATATTGAATAACGTAAAAAAATTAATTGGAAAAGAAGGTCTATTTTTATTGAATTTTGTCTGTCGTGCATCTGATGTTAAAGCTGAAATTTTAAAYGTTTTGAAGACTAATTTCAAGCAACTAACTTCATTAAAGATTGCTGAAGATATTAATAGAGTGCTGTTAGCAGGAAATAGTGATGAAGCGTTTGATGCACACCTCTTGGAAGAAACTGCTGCGTACATGAACCAATGTACTAAAAGTAACTCACTCATTGCTTGCGATGTTATTGATATTTCTGCTTTGAAAGAAAACATTGAAGAAATTTAGTGCTATAGCATTTTTTAAATGCTTTATTTGTTCATACTTAAATTACTGTACRTACTATTTAAATTTATAAGAATAATTTAATTTAGACACACATTAAGTTTATAATATATTTAATTGTTACATTTTTGAAGATTGTTATATTTTTTTTGATGGAATAAGTAAAAATTGTTATTTATAAGTATAAACATAATAAACAAATTTCTTAGATATCACATTGATTTATAACAATATTAGCTAATAGCTTTATTCTGACATTAATAACTAAATTATTTTGAGGGGAATTGGACATATTATATTATTGTTGAGTTTAAGAAAAAATATTTATGCAAACATATTTATTTTTATTCACTTATTTTTTTATTTCAAGTAAGGTATAAGAGTATGATAATTTTTTTCCATTTCTAATATTGTCCAGAGTAAATTTACTCTTGACTCATAAATTACACATATTTCACACAATACTAATATACATTATACATAGTTTAAAGGTTTAATTCACCCTGTTAAAAACAATAATGTTTAATAAATTATTGGAAGCACACTTTATGAAAATGAAATGTTATCAAGAAGAATTAATTTGAGAAGTACATTGTTTCATTAGTGTTTGCTTGAGCTTCTATTAGACAATTTGTATCTAAATTGCTAAGAGTATTTGTTATTCTGTCAACCAATTGTTTTCTATACTTGTATACAGTGCGGTCCACTGTAGAGTCTGCAGTTACACAATCATTTCCTCCATACTCACAAACCCTATAATGATGGAGTATTGCACGCTCTGGTGTGAAATAAAATGTACTATCACTAGGATTTAAAAATTCCCAAATAAAATGATTTCCAACTTCTACTATTCGTCGAGGATCACAAATATATTTTGAACGTTGTTTATGTGGATGCAGTTTAGTCTTACGCCGTGTTTTACGTAATACAACAAGATTTGAATGAAATGGATTCTGATCTGATGGTAATGAATCGTCATCAGCCCATTGCATGTAGAAGAATGCATTACGAAATGAATAAGCAGCTGGAGTTTGATAAATGTTTAACCAACTAAAAATAAATAAGTAATAAAATTAACTTTATATAATATAATATATCAAAAAATTTTAACTTTAAACATACTTAATTAATTTAATTAATGTATCATTTTGTCTAGGAACAATAATTTCATCTATATCTAAAAATGCCACATATTTTGACTTGTACATATTTCTATACAAGCAATCATTAAGHGCAGCAAACATTCCTTCAGTTCTAATATCTTGCTTGGATACCATATCTAACTGCCAAGGTAAAACAGAAACCAAATTGTCTTTTGTGTAACGGTCCAAAACACATTCAACATTTGGCCCTATAGTGTTTTTATAAAATGTAAAATGTCCAACCCCAAGTAAATAATTTAGTTCAACAAATTCCATAAGTTGTATTGCCTTAAATTAAAAAAAAAAAATTAAATAAAAATTAATTAAAAGGTAAATAAACTTAAATTAATTCAAATGATGAAATAATTACTCGATCATAAAAATAATGAAATGGTTTAACACAAATTTCTATATCAGTCTTGAGTTGACTAGTTGGTTTTGGCATTTGAATAAGAATTTCATTTGTAATTGGATCTTTAATATGAGACACAATGGATACACTTAATGGATGGTTTCCATCAGACGGTAATTTGCACAACACAAATACTGCACTGTACTTTAAATTCCAATTTTCACGGATTGCTTTCACCAATGCTGAAACAGTTTTGGAACTATTTCCATACCATAACCTACACCAAACTGGATCTGGTTTTCGAGTTTTGGTCGCACCAATTATTCGTACCAATGGCCCTGCAGATTTAATTCTTGTGTCTAAGTATGCTGAATAAACGAAAAATTTGTACCTATTTGATGATAAAAATACATATAAGTTAACACTGTAACAATAAGTTTCAAATAGTCACAATACTTTGTTGATTGGACTTTTTGCCAAGCTGCGTCTCTAGGAACGATTCCACTTCGATTGGGTAATGTACGTTCAACATGCGGTGGATGTATTATATATTGTTGCTTTGCAGGTTTGTAATGGGTTGGTGGCTTAAGTTTTTGACTGTAATACTTGTTGTCCTGAAAATGAATATAAAAATGAATATTAGATATTTACATGGCGTATGGTAGTCTGTAAAACTCACTTTGACGTCTACACTGGTGGGTTTCTCATCGAAGACAAAATAGACTACGAACAAAGTCAGCGCACCAGTGAACAAGAGCAGCAACAGACGTATTCGAGTTTTCATCATTGAGTCTATCAGGTAGTACTAAATTTGTAATATCGTTCATGTGTGTATGACCAACATGGTGTTCTGGGGGGAAGTTATATTTAAAAAAAAAAATTAATTTCAAACGCAGCAAGTTCAGCCGCGGTGGCGGGATGACAACGACACTCGCGTACTACTCTGACTTGCTCCATCGGAAATTCGGAACAAAATGAAATAGCTAAATATGATGACGTTATAATATGAGGCTATGACGTCGGACCGAATCCGCCCGGTGAGCGAAGAACACCGGCCAGCCGCATCCCCTGTCTCACAAACCCGGAGCAGCAACAGCRCAGAGCCTACCGTCGACCATCGTCACCACGACGGTCGTAAACGGAGCTGCGCCGACAATTATTAACAACGTTGTTGTCGTCGTTATTGACATTTGAAACGATAACGTGCGAACGCATTTCCCATAAAAAGAATTATTATTCGATTGTGGCGGACGCGAAAAAACCGCACTTTAGATTGTATTAAATATTATTTAAACTATACAACTACTTTACTATATACATGGCGCGACACGAGACCAACAGAGTACAGACTGCTCGCGATGAATGACGAACGGCATGAACACGCTGCAATGATTACGACGAAAGACTATTATTGATTATGACTGATGACCATAGAAATGCGTTTATGCGATTGACGGACAATCGACGATATTTTAAATTACAACATAATTAAAAGGTAAAGGATTCAGCGTAGACGCGTAGTGCGTGAGCGCATAAACTTTATTATTATTATATGCATCGGAGTCGTGCGAAACGTTTTATTAATTCGCGTCTGCGCGGTGAGCATTCCCCTGCAAATATTACCCGGCCGGCAGAGCAGGCACAACCCTAATATACAGACATACACAACAATACTATACAGTAATAGCGCAATACGGTACACTCCGAAAGTCGAATATAAAAACAGGGACCTGGCACAGGGGTAGGCTGTACGGCGAGTCGGTAGAAATTGGACGGTGACACGCAGCTGGTATCAACTGCARACAAACGACCACAGTCGATGGCTTATAATTTTTATATTATAATATCCCATGGCAGTACACCGTCCGTACATTTTATTGCTAAATGCCCGTCTACCAACCAGTCACCAGGATTTCATTATTATTATTATTATTATTCAATTATTGTCAATAGGTAGGTAATAAAATAGCTGACAATGCTGACAGTGTTAATTTTCAAGTAAAAATAATATGAMCGACAAACAACGACATTTTGTTACGTTAAATACATGACATGGTAAATAAATTAAATTCTATTGTTATATAATTCATGATATTACCTGTAGATACAATATATGTGAAATGTCCGCATTAAAAATATAATAAATTAGTAATTTCTAGTTTTCTACACATCACACATACATCATACTGATATAATACGTATTACAATGTACAAGTGCCGTATGACGTAAATACCACGCTTTGCTTTGAAGTTTAATTAGTTATTAGGTTACCTATAATAGMTATTCAAGGAGTGATGTTCAAACAGCCTGCTGTCGGTTAAACAAGAATTAAACRTAGCTATTATTTATCTTTAGGTACTTAAATATTATAAAGAAGAATAATTATTAGTTAGTTCGGAATAATCTCTAAAACCACTTAAGTGATTTTATTTTTTTTTCACCATCAGAAAGCTACACTATCCCAAGGATCTATTATAGGTTATATTTATCTCGATAAGTGGCTCTAATTTTTTTTTTAATTTGATAGGTATTTATTAGCTTACGAGTCACGAACAAATAATATATATTTGTTTATTATAGGGTTGCTATTGATTAAAAAGGATAAAATAATTATTATGATTGAATATAATAATTTTAGCCCTGTATTTTTGCTTGGTCAAAATTACTATGTGGTTATAATGACGTTATTGTCATTAATTCATTATGTATGWTAAAAAATAAATATTATTACATGATCTTTACAAAAATAAACCAGTCCCAAGTTCGAATAAATATGCAGTGTTATGATTAGGGCTGGGATTTTAATAATATAAAATAAAAAACCCAAAAAGTGCTCTTAAGAGGACGCCACACCCGCATGTGTTGTCTCCGTCTTACAAACGTATAACATAGCAAAATCTATTTAGCTCGGGATAACTGTTCTCCCTCAATATTTATAATAACATTTTCAAAATTTCACAACGCATAGGTAAGAACTTTATCTGTGTCATAGCGTCGTTATTTTTTTGATAACATAAATATAATTAAAGTTATAAGCTTAAGAAAATACATTTATTTTTTCATTAAAATATTAAATTACTTAAAACTATTGGTTTGTGCTATCAAAAAAATAACGGCGTTATGACACAGATAAAGTTCTTACCTATGCGTTGTGAAATTTTGAAAATTATATTATAAATATTGAGGGAGAACAGTTGTTCAGCGCTAAACAGATTTTGCTATGCTACGCACTTGTAAGACGGAGACAACACATGCGGGTGTAGCGTACTAGCGTTCTCTTAAAAATATGCTTTTACGACCTAAAAACTCGTACTGAACGTCGAACGATATCATCGGATGTCGATTTTACCGATATAAGATTATTCAACAGGAAATGCGGATAGTGGTTATTTGATAATCGGTTAAAACTTAAAATATCCAAACCAAAATATTCAAATTTTACGTAAATATACTAAATATTACACTTTACTTTCTAATAAAATTAACTACTAAATATATAAATTACGTTAGTAGTATAATAATATCACAAAATATACTGCACAAACATTAGTCAAATAGTCAAGTACTATAAAATAAAATGTAAAACAATTTGTTTTTATAAATATAGGAATAATTTGCTAAAAAAATTACTACCTACACTATTTTCTAAAAATTTAAAAATTATTTATAATATAATTAATTATATTTATATAATTATTATATAATAGGTATATTTTTATAATTAAATAATTTGATATTTGAGTTAATTTTATTAGAAAGTAATGTGTAATCTATTAATTTACGTAAAAACGAATAAATTTGGATATTTTGTCCTAGATTTGGTTACTCAAACTTCGGCCAATAATATGATACRAATTACGAATACCTACCTACTTAAAATCTGTTATCTTTATATAAAAACCACGTTGGTGTAAAAATCTTAAAATTAAAATTGAAATTCATATAGGTATTTGGGTTCCAAAAACTCTAAAATGCCCTAAAAAATTAAGAAAATGACCTTAAAACTAAAAAATCCAAAAAAATGCAAAATAAACTTTCTTATTCTCATTCATAACTTCATAAGTGCAATGTACATAAAACAAATTTGTGACCAAACGAGTATTGCACAGTAAGCTTTGGAAAATCATGCAAAGTGCATCGACATCCCAGCCCTTGTTATGATTGATGTATAAAAAACTGTGAGCTATTTGTTAATATACTGATCAAGTGATCACATAATAAACTCATACTAGTCAATGGAGAATGCCGTTTGGGATGGCTATAATATAATGTAGGTACCTAAACAAAAATATCCTAACTAACCCACTGTACACCGAACRATATGAAATGATAGTTGTCGCTTGAAGCTTGCAATTTTCGTGGTACTTTCGTACTACCGTAAGAGTATGCAGAAGAAAGCATTTTTYAAGATTCGCATTATTAATTGGTCAATGAAGCTCGCGCATGAAATTTGAAGATCAGAAGATCGATGAAGATTTTAATTTTGAGCAACGAAATGCATAGGGTTAGTTATGTATAAATAATATATAATATTTGACTACTGACTAGGTATGTTAATTGAATACTGGAAAAATTATAGATTATGTGGTACGCATCAATAAAAACAGGATTTTAAAATGTCATTGTTTATTTATGTTTTCAATAACATAAAAAAATATGATGTTATCAGAGAAAAGTACAAAAATGTAATATTTTGAAAGAGTGCATGTGAACATTTCAACAAATAACAAAATCAGCATTGATTAGACCTATGTTATATTAATATATTATCATCAATATTCAATATGTCTTGGTTGTACAAATCATTACTAAAGGTTTTATTTATATTTAGGTTAAAATTAAAAATRTTCAGATTTTATAAAAGGATTTCAAAAGATACTAATCTTACTGTTTTTATTCTACTTTGTATCTATACCTTTTCTATAACTTATTTTAAAGGTCCTTAAATTTTTAATTTTTATGCCAATTGTGACTCAGACTGATTTTGTGTGTACCTATGTACATTGTTGTATAAATATTTTTCATTCATACAATCACTGAATCACAGAATATAATGTTTCATTGTAGGATTTTTTTTTTTAAATAGGTAACATTTTCCAGTTTCCTTCTTATCTTTCAGATTTTGGTTGGCATTGTTTAATCGTAATTATTAACTTATTAAGTAATAAGTTATAACTAACAAATAATAAATAGTTTAATACAATATATTAATAGATAGTAGATACCCATATAATTATCTAAAGGTATATGTATATAATGGGTAATTAATAAAACTATTAGGTATAACTAATGATGTTTTAAGAAAATTAG